GAGTCCGGCGCCTTGCCGCGGATGCCTTGTATAACGCTGGTGTTGTCGATACATATGTGGATTGGATGACCGCGATTGGTGAGCAGAGCCCTTCTGAGGCCGGTTCGCGCCCCTTCGACCTCGGCGTCGAACACTTCTGCTAGTCCGAGTCGGCCGCACCCTTGTGCTATGCGTTTGGAGTCTCGGTAGATGACGAAGCCGTACCCCACGGCTCCGTTCGTCGCCCTGGAGCCGTCCGAGAAGACGATCATATGGCTTTCCGGTACTGTCTTTAGCCAGCGCTCGAAAGCTTTCGCAGCCTCTTCTTTGCATTGAACTACTATCTGATCCTGTGAGCTTGGCAGGTACTGTGATTGAAGGAACGCTGGTCTTCCGCATCTTGGCAGAAGTTCAGCCGTCCGTTGTAGTCTCGTCTGTTGCTGTCCCTGCTGGGAGAGCCGCGCGACTAGCGGGTGTCGGCGATCAATCCTCTGTAGTCGGACTGCGGCCCGTAAGCGGACGCCCTCTAAGGCGACTTTGGCTGACGGTAAGCCGGCGTCTCGGAGGAGGCTACTGGTTGGCGTTGTCCTCCAGACAGGCAGAACGGCCCTTGCTGCCGCTGTAATGACGCTGTCGATCTTCTGCACGAGCCCCTTTTGGCCTGTGTTGACGGGTCTTCCTTGGAGAGGCGGATTCGTGTCTGTCTCCGCTTGGCGTCTCGAAGCCGGCTTCGTGATACCTGCGTACCATGTTTCGGCGCCGAAGAGCGCGATCGGCAGTACGCAGGAGACGACGGCTTTTCGCACGGCGGCCGCTGGGAGTCCCCTCTTTGTGTTCGTAAGCTGTCTCAGATGTTGAGCTGCCCTCTTTGCTGCAGCTACTTTTGCGTCGACATGGTGCCGGAAGGACAGTCTCTTGTCGAACCAGACACCCAGCCAGCGTACAGGTTTCGTCGAGGCCTTGACCACCAAATCCCCCGCCCGGACCTCTGGCAGCTCCGCTGGCTGGCCGTGCTTCCTAGTAAAGTGGATGACCTCGCACTTGCTCGGGTCAAAGGAGACCTTGTTCTCCAAGCCCCATCTGAGAATGCCGGCTGCGCTTCGGTTGAGTATTGCGACGTTGCTCTCCAGGGAGGGGCTGATGGCCAGAGTGGCGATGTCGTCCGCGTACCCGAATCGCGCGTTCGGGTCGTCTTCAAGTATCTCTGCGATGTAGAGCAGAAAGGCAATGGGAGATAGTGGTGACCCCTGAGGCAGCCCGCATGACAGCGGGAAGTACTCCGTTGTGCTTTCTTCCAGTCGGACTCTAGCGGTGCGGTTGCAGCAGAAGCTAAAGATCAGTCTGGTCAGGCCATGTGGCCATCCCTGCTGACGCAGTCTAATGACGAGCCGGTTCCGAAGGACGGAGTCGAACGCCCCTTTTACGTCCATAGTCAGAAGTGTCGCCGTGAGTCCTTTTAGGAGGGCCATCTCGATGTCGTGGGTGAGGCAGGTCGTCAGATCGACGGCTGACCTGCCTTGTAGAGCCCCGATCTGTTGCGGACTGATGATGCGCTCGACAATCGCCAGGGACGCCATCCTTCTGGCTATCAGTCGCTCTAGTCCCTTGCCCAGGCACGAGAGGAGCGCGATCGGCCGCCAGGACCCGGGCTTGGAGGCATCCCTGCCGGCCTTCTGGATCATGACCACCTCAGCTCTGCGGAAGGGCAGAGGAAAGTGGCCGGCCCGCATACAGGACTGGAATAGCTGCCTGACCGGTTCCGAGATGACATCCCAGCATGCCTGGAGGAGGCGTGTTGTGATGCCGTCCACACCAGGGGTCGTTGTCTTTGTTAAGGTGGCCGTCTTCACTTCTTCTCCGCTAACATTGTCCTGCCAAGTAATCGCTCGCCTTGGGACGACGGGTACGTCAAACGGGTCACCCGGTGCGTCATCTTCCGCACTAAACCTGTCGAGAAGGGCTTCCGGAGCGCTTGGGCCTTTTCGTTAGTATCCTCGATCGTCTGGTTGTCCACAACCAATGGGGGTGCTCTGGTCAGTGGGCTCGCCTTCCGCCAACCCATGACCTGATAGAGGTCCCGGTCTGAAGCGACTCCATCGATCTTTCCGGCCCAGTATGCTCGCTTAGCCTTCCTCACCGTGCTCAGGAACGCCTTTCGTTTCTCCATTAGATAAAGGTGCGCATCTTGCTCCGTCTCCCAGGCTTGTTGGTTGCGGGCAGCACGGTATGCTCTGTGGGCCTCTGCGCATTCCTCCGTCCACCAAGCCGCGCCTTTACCATGTTTTCCTCTCTTCTTGCCGACCGCCTCAATGGCTCGGGAGAAGAGCTCGACGATGTGACTTGCCTGCCCGTCCAGGTCTTCCGGAGTAGGTTGATCCCCCAGATTGGGCATCGCAGCTAGCCCCCCTTCGATCAGGTCTCTCAGCCGAGGCAGCGCCGAGTCGGGCACTGACAGTGGCCGTGGCTGCGGGTGGCCCTCTCCCTGTGACACTGGGCGTTTGAGTAGTGGTATGACGGCCACGATGGCCTCGTGGTCAGCTCCCGGGTGTAGCTGTGGGCTGACCTGCGCGTGCGCAAAAGGGATATTAGAGAAAGCCAGGTCCAGGACATGTCCGCAATCCTGGGTTGCCACCCCAACTTCGCTGATAAGAGAGAGATTGTGGCCGTCTGCCCAGCCTGCGATGTCATCTCCCCGGTTCCCGTTCCTCGTCCCGGGCTCCCAAGAGTAGTGATGCGCGTTGAAGTCACCCGCGATCAAAGCTCGCTCCGGGGGTTTGAGTTCTAGCAGTATCCCTGTTGTGCGGCTGTGGGGGTCGCGGGGTTGTCTGTACACGTTGACGATAGTCGTCGTTTTGTCGACCACCAGCCACAGTACGTCTCTCGTGTGGACAGGCCTCTGCTGCTCCACCGTCATCCCTATCCCTTTGCGTGTGTAGGTCAATACTCTTGGTCTGGTTCCTTCGCTGTCCCAGAAGTCGACCGGGACGAAAGAGTCGAAACCCGGGTGCGTGTTCAGTTGCACGTTTCCGTCCTTCCAGCCCGTCCAGGGTTCCTGGACGAGGACCACATCTATCTGAGCCTCCCAGCAGAGCTGCAGGAAAGCCGTGTGCGCCGGGGAGATCTTTCCGACGTTGCCCTGCGCAACGCGTAGCATCCGTGGGGTCGCCGCTCTCGGCTTACGTCTCCGAGTCGAGTTCGAGGTGGGTGTAGGCATTCGCGACGTTGTAGTTTGGCTTCTGTGCTGCCCGTTGGCTCCTGCTTGGCATGGGTAGCACGGGACGGTCGATGGAGGTGTTGTCGGGGGAGTCTTCGCCTTCGCCTTCGTCCGCCTCGTCTTCATCCATGCTGCTGCTGTCAGTGCTTCCGTCACCGAGGCAAACGATCGAGCTTGCGGAGGGCGTTCTCGTGCGCGCGCGCTTGGCGCCGGGTTGCTGGTTCTGGCTGGTGGAGGTAGGGACGCCTGCCGCCTCCTGGCTACTGTCGGATCGAGTAGCCTTGTACAGAGTGTCCGATGCTTTCTGGCCGGCCTTCCGGATCCGAGCCCGCTCCTTTCGACCGGGAAGGGAGACGACGCCGTTTACGGCCGAGGGCCTCGCTGGGCAGTCTGTGTGGCTGGCTTGGAAGGGGCCGCAGCAGTTGGCACATTGGGGCCTGGCCATGCAGGGTCCCGTTTCGTGTGAATCGGAAGGTCTTCCGCAGTTGCTGCAGATCGGTCGTCGTCCGCAGAACCGGTTGGAGTGGTAGCCCTGGCAGCCGGGGTCGTGTCGGATGAGCGTCCTTCGTTTCTTGACGGGCAGAGATCTGCCGCTTTGGTTGAAGAGCCTGAAGGGCGTGACCTCTGATGTGAATGATATGAGCCAAGATATTTCGTTCGTGACTGGGTTGGGCCCAAGGCGGGACGGTCGAGCAAGGACAGGCTTCTGTCCTGTCTGTGCGAAGACCTCATCTTCAACGAGTGTGGCTGGGTCCAGGACGTCCCCGCCAATGCTGTGTAGTTTTGTTGGGCATCGCGGCACAACGTAAGTGTACCACTTGATAGGCGTCTCGACCTGGTGGGCGCCGAGGCATTCCGCCAGCTTTGCCTTACTTGCAAGTAGTCTTTCCTGTATTTGCTTGTTTCGCGGCTTCAGAGAGTAACCTGTGCTGATATGGTAGACGTGGGGAAGGTCCGCTAGCCCCAGGCCAACGGCCTTACAGACGATCTGTCGTACGGCGAACGGTGCGATCTTCCGAGCGGCCGCTAAGCTTTCTTCCGGGACGCGGGCAAAGATGCGGAGGTCCTCCTTCGGCTGCGCCTGCGGCTGATCCTCGGCGGGGAGTGTGGCCTTCGGGCGGGCAGAGCTCTGGCAGCTCTGGCCGCTCCGGGTCGCCGCAGTGGTGTTGCCCGCCATCGGTGCGACGACAGCCGCCCAACTCCGGGCCGCTATTGGGCTTGTCTCGTGATTGATCAGTCTCTTGAGGGTTTGAATGACATAGGCAGTGGCTTCTTTCGCGATCTGCTTTCTAGAACCGTCAAAGCTGGCGACAACGCTGTCGACGGACCGTGCAATGGTCAGAAAGACGTCTTTCCGTGCCTCGTACTGTCTAGCTTCTTCTGCAAGGGCTGTCAAGACGGACCCTGTGGCAGATCCGCTCGGAGCAGATGCGGTAGAGGCTGCGGGCCCCTCGGCCGAGGTAGGGGCGTCGGTGGTGGCATCAAGCTGGCTTCCCGTTAGGCTGGGCCGGGTCGGCTGTGCCTCGACGTCGCGGCGTCGCTTAGCTCTTGAGGTGGGGTTCGGCTCCGGAGGTGTCCCGGAGCCTGGTTCGGGGTCGGCTTGGTCGGCCGACATCAGTCCGGTGCCCGACGGCGGCTGTGAGGCCATCGCGGATGCGGGCTCCGGCAAGGGGAGGTGAAGAGTTTTCGGCTGTTAGTAATTTGGTGGTAGGCTCACTCATTCACTAACAGCAGATGCCAAGAAAAATTAGGCGAGAGGGAAGTTGCATCACTTTCACTTTCACTTTCTGATGGGTTCCGTTGTTTTCTTCAACAGGCAACTTTCGTAGGCTTGGAGTTGTTAGTTGGTTGAGGCGCGCCTGGGCGGGGGGCACTTACGTCGAACGTGCGATATTGATGACCAAAGGCGCACCAAGCGTAAATTTAGAGGCAAGCACCGCGTTCCGCTTTCCTTCATAGACACGGTGTTTGTCGGACTCGGCTATCTTATAGCCATGCGTCCCTCTCACATAAGCCATTGCCATGTGGAGGAAACGTTGCTGGTACTCAGCTTGGCCTTTTTGATTGTCCAAACACTGTGCAGCTTCTTGCAGAGAGGGCTTGGAGAGTTCATCACCAAAAAACGCCTCAGGCCGCACGGTCCAAAGATGATGGCTTTCTTTGACTATGCTATTGACCATCACGGTCCCAGCACCGTCAAACCTGTCTGGCGCAACTATGAGCCGTAGACGCTTCAGCAAGCTCTCTTTGAATTCGCAGTCCAGCTGTTGCCACACAGATTCAAGAACCGGGAGGATCTACAATGGATTAGCTGAGATCGAGTTCCTGTGGGTGGCACGTACCCCTTCCCCCGGCGGCGCTCCATGCCTGGAGGCGTTGCCCCAGTCCAGGAGTGACTGTCCCAATTGTCGACTTTGCTCTGCGCCCATCTCGAAACCGTTTAGTCTGACGGCGGAATAGATCGGGCAGTGGAACGAACTCCAGCTGATGTGGGACGCGTCTTGCGAATCTGGGGCGGCTTATTATGCATGATTCAAATGCCATGTCTGACAAATGTGTTGGGGGCCAACCGGTTGGAGGCCAGTAAGGTGGAGCACCTAGTCATATGCGGAGTATTCCGTAGATGCAGGATGATGCTGGCAAGTAGCCCTGTCACTCCGCACTACAGCAGGCGTGATACGCAAGCAGGTTTGGGCTCATACAGGACCACACTAGTCTCTGGGTGTACGATACTTTAGGATCAGATCGACACCCGAAGTAGTGTACACGGTACTCCGTAGTGCACTTATCTCGCGCGGGTGGGCTAGCAGCACGCTAGCAAGCTCCCCGACCCGCTAAGGGTGTGGATTCAGCAGTCATAGTAGACACGCCCCGAGGTGGCGTACGAACGTCTGAACAACGACTCAGGCCGATGTGCCGCTCGAGAGGCTTCAGAGCAAGTTCTCCGTCAAGTTCTGGCGTGAGTTCGTGGTGCTGCTGCACATGAGCGCTACACTAGGCCGATCTATTGATTGCAGGTATTTGTGCGAAGGGCGCTTCCAAAATGGGCGCTTCCAAAATGGGCCGGAGTCCCTAGACTCCCTACGGCGAGATGGGTAACGTAGATTGCTGCGGCTGTCCAATGTTCTTGTACTTCAGCGTCTGACTTTTCAGGGAACCAACTTTAGGCGAGCAAAAGGCCAAGCGCTGGAGGATCATCATGGCAGATAGAACAGAGGAAGTCAGATAAGATATTGGCGTTCCAGCCCGAAACACTTGAAGTAGAGGTGTCAACCGTTGACTCATGCGTGCTGGTACTTTCGAACGCTCATTTCTGATTTTGTGGTGCCTCATATAGACAAGGACTGCGCGCTACTCAAAGGAGGGAGTGAGATGGCCAACAAAGCGCCGAGCAACGCTGCGACAGTGATCAGCGTGCTCAGCGTGCTCATTGGTGGAGGGGAAGCGCACACATCCTATTCCAATAACACAATATGCAGACGGTGGATTGTCAATACTGCGCCGTCTAGGTGTTCGATGATCCCGTACACACATCTCTTAAAGGACGACTGTCCCCGAGTTGCTCGGTCTCAATTGCTTGTTCCATCTCCGGTCACAGCTTGCCCATAGGCTAACATCTTGATCTTCGAACCATTCTGCGGAAAGTATCATATTCAGGTTCAAAGCTTGAGTGTCCCAAAGTCGCAATGAGATGCATCAGGAGGTTGACCAATATTTTTCGCTTACGTACAAGATTCTCTCGTTCTCGAGACGATGCAATCGGCCACCGAGTCTCGACCCAACAAAGCAAGAGAACCTCTAAAGATCATGCTCTACGATGTGTTCAAGATATCGACGGCCTTATATCCGAACAGACATTGCTGAGACTGTTGAAAACCAAATTTGGCACCGCATTCCGATTGATACGTGTTAGTTTTACTTTTGTGAACAGCTTGTTCGAAGTTTTCCTGCTAACTGATGACAGACGCGCTCGAAGTATTATAGACTGTTTGCGCAACAACCACTGAATAATGATGAGATCATGAGCTGTTGTTATGGGAGAACTTGGGCTGCCAGAAGAAGTGAATAAAGCTCCTATTCTTGAGAGTCTTGTAACTGATGGTCCAGTTAGTAATGTGACACACATCTTGCTGAGTGACTTTTGCCGGTGAAATTCCCCTGGGCCATGCACTTCATTGCTTCTCATTTCCGCCCGGCATTGCCAATATGCCGCGATTACGGCGTCCGCCTCCAGAATACGGCAGAGCGGATCGAAGGATTGGCAGACTGGATTCTTTAGCGCTGCTATGCTCCATGCCCTCCATCAAAGAGCTGTAGTCGCTGACATAAAGTCTGCTTCGTCTCATGTGCGTTGTCACTAATCTCAAAAGAATAAGTGAATTGCTATTCCATGGGCCATTCGTTTGCTACCTTTGCGTGTTTGCATTACAGTGGAGTGTATTCCTGGCACATATACCAGGCTTTCGGTACGACGAGGGATAGGGTGATTGAAAATAATTCCAAGCAAAGAGTCCTTGACGTGTTGGAACAGGGGCTAGGAGTGGCTGGTTTCGACACTGTCTCAAATACACCAAGCAACAGAAGGAGGATGGCCAATTCTGACCACCCCAGAAGCAATTTTGGTTTGGTTCCTTGATACTGCTTGCCTGCGGAATGGAAAACGAACCAGCTACCTGGAGCATTGATAGTTCTAAGTCACCACATGATACCTTCCTTGCTGTCCCGCCACTCGACCGATTGGTGAATTCCACTCTCCTACATGGACAAATAGTCACCTTTTCAACGAAAGGACGTCCTCTTTAGGCAGTTCGTCACTGCCAAATATTAAAAACACGGATACGAGTATCCACAACATTGCAGCAGAATCCTTGAGGTACACATCCTCGTGTAAGAGTTTAGTCGCATACGCTGGCCAGATTAGCCCCAGGCGCCATGCGAAGTGCGACATGCTGGATCGCACGCAGACACAAGGGTATCGGCTCCAGAACAGCTGCAAGACATCCCTGCCAGTAATCGGCCTCATAGTGGTAGTCGAGGCCGCGAAAGGCATGGCTGCTAATTAGGCAGACGCGACAAAGATGACGGGTCCGTACGTGTCGTTGCGATGAACATTGCTGAGCCTGCGGCAGAATTCAGCTCAGATTGCAGCTCCTCAGACTCATCATCCTCATCATAGGTCCTACGCCGCCTATCAGATCGATATGGAATTGATGGGCGCTGGTCGAGGTTCGATTTATGACGTGCAGGCAAGGACGGCTTGCGAGGTTTGGCGGGAGAGTAGTATCGATAATCTTTCTGCCCCTCATGATCACGTTGACGCAGCCGTCCGCTACCTCTCGCTGTGCGTGGTGATGCAGGGGGCGAGACGCTCAATCCTCTCCCAAGAACGGGCATCTTTGAGCTGTGAGCCTCGTCCCATAGCCATAGAGGTGCTCTATCTCGCAGGCGGCCGCCAACATACTGCAACTTCTCACGGGTGCGCTTCGATCTGGGCTCGCGAGGATCCGACTGGCCAGCTCTAGCCCATACACCTCTGAACACACCCTAAGTGCCGCCCTTGTATCTGTACCGGCAATCTGTGAAGGTGAACCACATCTCTTGCGATAACCTGGTCCTTGCGTCCCCAAGATTCGCATTCGGTCCAACGCTTGTGAAGTCCTCTTTGAAATACGCCCATCTGATACTATTTTTTTGTACCTCGCCGGCATAGTTCAGAGTGTAGCCAGCACCAATCGGCAGCACCATCCCGGGGTATGTCTCGATCTGCTGACGGGTGCCCATCTTCAGTTTCGGAAGCACCGACTGGTCCAAGGGAACTTTACAGTATTTGAAGGCGTAATAATGTTTGGATCGGCCCTCTCTAGGAGGATTTGCGGCGAAGGAAACTATGGTTAACCCCTTTACTATTGGTTTGCCTTCTACTCTTGCTTACGATTACTCGCCGTGCTTCTCTGGATCCGGGGCCTCAAAGCTCCGGTGACCATCTTGGAAGCCATAAGAGCCCTTGCCGTGCTCGATACCCTCTTGTACGTTATTAAGCAAGCTCAGAACTTGGAAATGTTTGCAGTCTTCTTCACACTATGGGATACAATCTGATGAACAGGGGTTGACTGGATTTTGCATACTCATTGGCGCTGTTCACAAGGTTCGGGCCACCACAAACTGCACGTTTATTTACACCAATGAGAGCAATTGTGAGCATCTGTGACTCACAGAGATAAGTACCACGCATGCCGTTAAGGCATTGAGATCAGATCAGTGGCTGATGTTTACTCGCTTGGCCGAATAGAATCGGGTCAGGCAGCTTATCGAAATCTTGCCAGCCACATAGCTATGTACCTTCAAGAACTTAGCATGATCGGCATAGTGGCCTCAGGGTGAATGAGAGAGTTACAAAAAACACTCACGGTTCATTGTATTGGGTGATGTCCATGTGCGAGAAGCAAATTAACTCTCGGATAAGCCTCGATTTTCCTAGAGAAGAATGCGATTTACCCGCAAAAATGCAGCATCAATATCCCGCAGCCTCGTGGGTTCTTCTTGGAATGAGGTGTCGTTAAGATAAGGGTCGGACAGCTTCATGATCGATCTAGGCGCAGGCAGAAAAGGAATCGGCACGCAGAGCGACTCAGCGTGATAGAAAAGTTGCTCAGAGCGATCGGACGCGCCAGAACTGCGAGGCGATGGCACTGGCGGCTAATCGTCGGCGTCTTGTCGCTAGCTTTAGAGTGTCAATGATCATCACCCGTGCAATACTGGTATGTAGTTATCGTATTCATGTCGCTCAAGTTAAACACCCTTCAGTCACAGACTTCAAAGTTCGACCACTGCCCCTGACCCAGAGCCTGAAGCATTAGCGCCGCATTTGCCCTCTCGTCGTAATCTTCAGCGTCGATTGCGTTGCCTTCTTCAACTGGTTCAGGCCCACTCGCTACGCGCCATCCTCCGCTCCCGCCCCGCGGGATTCTTGATTCTGAGACCGTGGCTGTCTCCAGACCGCCAGCCCAGCCCTGATTCTGCTGTGACGAACCTCCTAAGAAATCGCTTGCCCATTCTTCGGGGTTGTCTTCTACTAAATGTGAGGCCAGTGATGATCCAACATAGAGGGAGTTGAGTGGATCGACCGAGTAGTCTTCCACGAAACGCGCCATCTCATGGCCTGCTTGCCAGCTGTTGTAATGTCTGATCGCCGACGAAAGTGGTACCTCGGACTCTCCATAATGTGGATTCACCTCGGACAGTAGGAGCGACTCGGGAGGGGGCGCTCGAGATCTTATGAATAAAGATGGGGTAACCGCTCTTGTAGGCCTTGGCTGGCAGATGATAGTCGACAGATTCCCAGCGTCGTCATTTAGCGAGGCGTACCTGAGTGTCTCTTGGTCCTCCTCCCTAGAGTATGTAGAGGAAGCCAGCTGCTGGGAGAATCCCTGCTCAGGTTGAAGCAGATTTTCCAACGCGCTGCAGCAGTAGCCAGCGGAAGACCGCGTGTCTGGGGACAGGACCACCATGCATTCCACAAGAATCGATCCAAGCGCAGTCGGCTGCCTATCAACCTTCCTTTGCATTGCCTTGACGATCTTCTCACACCAAGCCACTCTGTTCTTCTTGTATTCGTCCTTGTAATGTGGTAGACCGTACACCAGTCGGCATCCCACTACACCAAGAGACCAGATGTCAACAGCCTCAGTATAGCTGGCTTGAGATCGCATGTCTGAGTAGACCTCCGGGGCGAGATATAGAGCTGTGCCACAGAAAGTCATCAGCTCGGAACTATGCCGCGATAGCCCGAAGTCGCCTAACTTAACAGAAATACTGTATTCAGATCGACTCTCAACAAGGATGTTGGCCGGCTTGATGTCTCGATGCGCAATCGGCGTCTCAAAATCATGCAAGTATGCCAAAGCCGATGAACATTGATGAACAATCATTAAGGTCTCATCATATGATATATCGTCATGATCTTCCAGAGATCCATAGGGCATGTACTCAATGTGTAGCTCATAGTGGGGTGTTGAGAATGACTCGATGAGTTTCACGATTCGTTCCTGTTCAGCTATCAGATGGATGTGACAGACAGATGATTGGCTTACGAACATGTGAGACCAGGCTCATGATGTAAGCCTCTCGCTTCCAGGTACCAGGATTAAACTGCCCGTTCTGAATTGCCTTGGGGTTAGGCGATTTCACGACGCGCTCCTCCCCCGTGCTAACATTCCAGAGATGGGTCACGACGCCGAAAGCTCCCTCGCCAAGTGTCTTTCGTAGGCTAATGTCTCCAGTACCGGGTGTCTGGGCTCCTCTGGTCGGCGGATATGAGAGACCCAAATCCTCGAGGAGGTCCTCTGTAGCCGCGGTTCCCTGACGAAACCTTCTGACACCATCGATGTACTCTGGAGACTGTATGTCATGAGGCTGAGTGACGATCTGGAAAGATACCGCCTTCGGCACCGTGATGATGATGCTTTCCATTTTCTGGGGAATATCGTGACCGCCAACGATCCATTGGAAATCCCTCCGGACGCCCTCCCCTTCCCCGTTGTATGTGATCTGAGTGCCTCTTAAAGAGTTCAAGTCCTTGATGATAGGGCGGTTGAATTCGTCAAATGTCAGGCTAAAGTGGATATTCGAAACACCTGGGAAGGGTAGCTGGATGTCGCAGTTCTTGTTTGAACCAAAAATAAGACCTTTATCTGTCCGTGGAATGTCACTGAATCCGATCAAAAGGCGTGGAAGATAATCGAGCGCCGAAAGCCCAGGATCCTGGAGTGGTTCGGTCGATTCTCTCTCGTGACGGTCGCGACGTCTGCGCCGAGTGCGGGAAGGCTGCGCAAGCTGGGGAGGCACGTAATATGGGCTCGACTCGATCGCTTCCGATGCTTTCTTGCCATGGCCGTCATGGGGAAACAAGCAGGCGATAACGTTTGCGTTTTCCATTATGAAGTTTTCAAGGTGAAGGGGAGCGTGACGAAGGGCATTAGACCAACGTCGAGAAGTGGCATCAACTTATAAATACCAGTGCGGTTGATGAGATGTTAATCGATGGAACCATAACCACACTAATGACCAATGAAGCCACTGTCCACCAAGCGATAGCGGCTAGAGCGTTTGACATGATTGGCCTGCGCGGTCCCAAGCAGCCTTCACGCAGGATACGACCCAATCCACTGTGTTCATATAAGACCTCTATGTACCGATGTGTTGACTGCCTTTACCCCACTTCCGGGCGCTATCTTGCTGCCTGAGGTTCAAACTAGCCAAGTGCCGCGTCACAAATCATCCATCACCGAAATCTTTTCATCAACAACTTCAAGGTTATGAGAGTACAGCTAATTCACGATTGACAATACAATGGCATTGCCAGAGGCAGATATGACGAGAGTATCTGCGGACGAAGTCGCTGTTATGAAAGATGCAGAACTAGCCCAGTTCATGCAGCAACATCGTCTCCCCGATGGTAACTACGATCTCCCTGTCGACGGGTGGGATGAGCTGTCCAGAGAGGACCGCAGCCTTTTCGCTGAGAGGTTGGAGTGAGTTCTTGCCAACCCGCCCTTCGCGTGCCCTCTGCGGTTTTGGCTGACAACATCACAGGGCGCAGAAACGCAGTTTAGCCCAGAGTCCTACGGCATGCTCTCGCCCACTTGATCTTGATGACCTCGATTCACGCCTACATCGAGTATCACCCAATCAAAGCTTCTCACTACGACCACAATCTGAAGAATTCGCTCGGTCGAGGTCTCCTACCCCACCATATGACCCGATGAAAGACGAAATCGAGACTTACTACGAGCTTGTTGAAACCGGCGGCCGCCCTTTATACCCGACCGACCTTGTTCAAGATATATACAGAGAGCCACACAATTACTCTGAATTACTGCGGCCTTGGCAAGAGTCTCTGACACAATTGCGCGCCGAGGGCATATTCCAGAGACAGTTGCAGAGATGGCAAAATTTCCGGAGGTGGCAAAACGACCATCGAAACTGCGAAGATGAGGACGATAGTTTCCCGGCCTATGTCGAGCGACAGAAGCTTTGGATAGAAGCAAATTATATAAAGAAACAGGGCGCCAAACGCTTAGCTGAAATCGAAGCAAATCCGTCTTGCCTAAAGTCTGGATGGGATTTAGAAAGATCGCTACGTGAGCGGCAGCGACAGCTCTGCAGGGAACACGATTGTCGAGGATTCCGCGACTACGTTGATGCGGTGAAGCGACGCCTCGCTTGTCACGGCTTTACCCAGCACTTTCACCTTGACGAAGACCCCACCAAACAGGACATGCTGACGACATGGATCGAGTACCTCAACTACGAGTATTGGTGGCTTGACAAGTACACCAGCGATATCAAACGCTTGGAGCCAGAACACGATAAGTTGTGGCAAGAGCTTGTTGAGAAGAAAGTCCTCAAACCTCACGAGACGAGAGAGTTCGTGCGGACAGACGCATCAGGGATGGAGCGCGAGAAAGAAAAGGACCAAGCCAGGAAGGCTTACGAAAGGGCAGAGTCCGAAGCGAAGCAAATATACGTGCTGACCCAGGAGGACCCGAAGCGTTTGCGTATCCCCAAAAAGAAGCGGATATCGATGATGAAATATGGCACGGAGAAGTTGCTTGCTGCAAGGCGACGATTGGAGCAGGCCCGAAGCGAATCTTTTCTCATCGTACAATTCGTTCGGGCCACATTCGGCTACGCGGGCGCTAAGAGAGATGCCGCTCGGCATCGCAATCTCGTGCAATGGGTTTTGGAACAAGTTCCTTTGATCGAGGCTGAGATAAACCCTTCCACAACGAATCACTCTGAGAGTGACGAAGGAAGGACGAAGAGAAAACTCGCAAGCGACGAAGAGCCCCCGGAAAGACGCGCCCGGAAGAGAGTGATGTTCAATCTTCGCGAGAGGAGGTCAGCCAACGCAAGACATTCAGCAACAGCCACAGAGACGCAGCCTGAACCCAGTACGGCAACGGATCAAGACACGGCCCAAAATACACAGCCCGACATTCTCACTGCTAGCAGTTTGCATAAGGAGGATAACGTCCAGGCAATGCCGCAGGGGCTCCGCCGCAGCGCGCGTATTGCGGCGCGTCGAAGCGCTTTCCGGGAAAGCTCTCAAACTTGTGAACGAAATGAGCTAGGTTGAGGCGGGATGGTTCCAGCAGTGCATTGTCGCTTGTCGGTGGCTGTGGGGAGGAAAACACGTGGCCCTTTCTGAAGTGAAACTAGAGGGTTCTATGGGATTCTGCGGGTCCCAATGCGTACTGAGGGGAGCCTGGTCACCAAGGCCATTCGACGCGCCGTCGCGAGCCATACCTTTTCACGCTCCGTCGAAATAAGCTTAATCTGATTGTCAGACCTGGATGAACGGGACGGTCCAGTGAAGCACTATGGAGGTGCGACGTCGGCGCACAGGCCAAAAGCTCACGAAGGACAGGACCGTCCGATCCATGATGTTTCTAAATACACGACATCCGCTCCGTATTATCCAATCGCCTTCGACTCACCAATCAACAACCTGCCAGACATCGGAGCGGGATGACAAGGCAATCCATCTACCACCGACCACGCTTCTGCCCAATTGTGAGTGGCAGGCGCTCGTCATCTTTTTCCACTTTGCACCGCCAACATCGCTCGACGCGCCAACAACGAAATGGCTATGCCCTGCACCAAAAAGCCGCCGTTACACCGCTGCAGGCATACATATTATGGGATGCCTCGATTGGTTCTCGCCATTTTTCCAAGAGGCATGGTCAGCATAGTCAGTACATTCTTCGCCAATCAATTAGTAGCACAGCACCCGAGCACCGTGGTCCTGTCTTGCTGACTAGTGCCAACCAGCCTGATTTTGGGTCTCATAAAAAGAAGAAGCCACCCGCAACGAGTGTTTACCCAACTTCCCTTAACCTGTCCTAACGTCTCATCACATTACAAGCACTCTCCTCTTTTCAACGTTTATCTGCTTCACTGGCTATGTCTGAACCCCAAGCCTACACGGTCAGTTGGATATGCGCCATTATGACAGAGTCTGTTGCGGCCCGGGCTTTCCTCAACGAGGAACATGCAGGCCCGCGACAAGTCGCCCAGCACGATAACAACAGCTACGTTCTGGGCAGGATCGGCAGCCACAATGTCGTCATTGCCGTCTTGCCCGATGGTGAATATGGCACGACGTCAGCGGCAACGGTAGCCAAAGACATGCTCCATAGCTTCCCGAACGTACGCATCGGGTTGATGGTCGGTATTGGAGGCGGCGCGCCTAGTCCAAAGCATGACATTCGACTCGGTGGTATTGTCGTCAGCAAACCAGGTGGCGGACATGGCGGGGTATTCCAGTACAACTTCGGCAAAACCATCCAGAATGGCTCGTTCCAGGAGACCGGGTTTTTGAACCAGCCACCAGTGCTGCTGCGAGCGGCTCTTGCCACACCCATCTGATAGCCCAACAGGAGCGGATTGTGCGACTCATCGAGTCATTCTCTGCACCCCACCCCGAGATACACCTCGAGTATGTGCCTCTGGGGTCTCTAGATGAGCACAAGGTCATAACATACGAAGAAACCCTAATGATCGTTCATCAATGCTCATCGGCTCTGGCATACCTGCATGGCTTGGAGACGCCCATCGCGCACCGAGACATCAAGCCGGCTAACATCCTTGTCGAGAGTCGTTCTAACGACAGTATCTCGGTCAAGTTGGCCGACTTCGGGCTGTCACGGCATAGTTCTGAGTTGATGACTTTCTGTGGCACATACCTCTATCTCGCCCCGGAAGTCTACTCAGACATGCGATCACACGCTGGTTATACTGAGGCTGTTGATATCTGGTCTCTTGGTGTGGTGGCATGCCGACTATTGTACGGTCTACCACGATACAAGGACGAGTACAAGCAGAACGGGCTGGCTTGGTGTGAGAAGGTCGTTACGGTGATGCAAAGGAATGTTGGTAGACAACCGACTGCGCTGGGATGGATTCTTGTGGAAAGTATGGTGGTTTTATCCTCGGAGTCGAGATGTTCAGCTAGCGATTGCTGCGACGCGTTAGGAAATCTGCTTGGATCTGAGCTGGAATCGTTTGACGGGCTGGCCTCATCTTCATACTCTGGGAAAGGAGACCAAGAGACGTTCATGTATGCTCTGCAGAGCGACGATGCCGAGGACCTGTCGACTATCATCCACCGGCCAAGGTCTACGGGAGAGGTCATCCCATCCTTATTCGTAAGATCTGGGGCGCCACAACCCGAGTCGCTTGCACTGTCCGAGGTGAACCCACAATATGGAGTCTCCAAAGGAATATCCTCGTCGGCGATGAGACAGTACTACAACTGGCAAGCGGGCCATGAAATGACCCGTTTTGTGGAAGACTATTCGGCAGACCCGTTGCACCCCCTCTACGTTGGATCGTCGTTAGCTTCACAACTAGGTCGAGGCAACTCGGAAGAATGGGAAAGCCAGTTCCTGGCGGACTCGTCACAGGAGAATCAGGACAGGGCTGAGGGTCTGCAGAGTTGCACAATACTGGAATCGAAGACCCCACGAAGCGAGAACGCAAAATGGCAAGCAGCCAGCGGACCTGGTCCAGTTGATGAAGGCAATGCAATCGACTCTGGTGAATACGACGAAAGGGAGCATGCTGCGTTGTTGCTTCAGGCTTTGGGCAAGGGGCAGTGGTAGAACAGTGGCTTGTTCAACTCAATCAGCACGAGTAACGGAATGGAAATGGTTGGGTTTACTGTCATTGACACAGCGGACCAAAAGGCACAATACTCGGTCAGGAGACTGAACCCTTAGCTACTACATGGCCGATCTATGAAACACATCTCGAGATATGATTGCATCTTTGGTCTAGCTAAGCCTGAGACAGACAATTGCCTTCCTCTAAGTTCGCCGTCGAAAATGAAATTCGCTGCGCCTAGGTTCGTTATCGTCCATGTAAGACACGTTCGAATACGAGTGCATAGAAGATCGATTTGAATTGACAGGGTGACCGGGAGTCGACTTCTTAGAGAGACGGCTATCCGGCGAGTCCTGTCGAGTCTCTGTACGTCGAAACTGCTTCGGAAAGAGTTCTCGGGCCATGCTACGAGATAGAACCAGGCCTGGAGTTTGCAGGCCAACACAGGCTCACGGAGAGGAGAGACAAGCCTGGACCCACACGTCCTAAGAGAGGGGTTAGAACACGAAGACTGCGAGATGGCTGAGGCGGCGAGGTTACTTCAGGGCATGGGGCGCAAGTTAGGCATGCGGGCTTAACAAGAGAGACTGTGATGTGTTTCGTCCAGACTTCAATGTCACTTATCATGGTCTTGTGATTTTCCCCATCATACAGCAGCCATGTTGTGATGCGTGCCTGGCACCCATGCCGCAAGTACGGTAAAGCACAATCGCCATTCCCCGGGAGAAATGCTAACGAGGGCTTTGATAGTGAATGCTCTTCGAGCAGCGGGCGCTTCGCTCTTGGCCCCGCTATCTTACCGTAAGTCACTCGAGCTCGGCTAACAGCGTCTCTATGCTTGTCGAGACGTACCGGTTGCTGGAACTAGCAGACCTTTTCGTAAATCGGGCCATAATCAAGAATCACGCCACCAGATACCAATGTCATCGCGCCGCACTACGTCGCAAACCAACAGGAAGGTGACTCACTTCATTGAGGATTTGGGGTCGCTAGGATGTGGATGTAGCCGGGGAAGGGCTCCGGCGCGGAACTCTCAACTTCCTTCCTGAGCCTGGGAAGCAGTGACAGTTGTGGCGACAGCCCTGGACTTTCAGAACCCAGGCTGGTGGTGCTGTGCTCGTTGACCCCCGGCACCCCAGGCGGCCACCGTGCCCAGATCTTAGAGTTGTGGTGCGGCCTTGGCGGGGTGTCAGGACAAGCGCTTCTCGAACCATAGACGGACAGGGATCAGTGGGGCAGGAGCTGTGACCAAGAGTAGAAACGAGGCAGGGATGAGAAATGGCGAGAAGCTCTCGCTCAATCACAATGGAGGGCGTATCGCTGTGCGTAAACTTCGGACCAACAAGTCCTGGACTCAGCGGGGTTAAGCACACACCACATATCGCCGCCAATCAAATTGTTCGCTAAATGACACTGTTAACAACAACTTCCAGACTGATCACACAGGGTCACATTGAAATACTACCGTATTCAGAATCAGGCCATTTTCTCCTCACCTCGGACAGCTGCTCTTGAGTGCAACTCGGTAGTTGGGTGCGGTGAACCACCCACACCTTTGAACACCTCTTACTATGTACTCCCGAAGACACGGCCTCGGCCGTGTCGTTGTGGAAGCGCAACTGTCCTTTGGATGTCAGTTTGTGGAAACGAAGACATACGACACAACACCAACAGACGAGCATGCTAGGCGTCCGCTATGTTGCTTGGGCTTCCGTAGTAAACCACGATCGCTCAGAGCTGCCTGAAGAAGCACGGCTTCGCGCCAACTCGGACTCGGCTCTATCGAAAGAACGATTGAACGACACGGCAGTCGGCATTATCTTCATATACCAGACTACGGCGATTCAGATGTCGGTATATCATCCCGAGATCAGCAGCGACAGGTGCATTCCTGAACAATCGTCGGAGTCGTCGACAGCAAACGAAGCATACTCCTTGGGCTCTCTATATTGAGCTGGACTACACTGATATGTTACCATGCTTCTGCATAAGCCAGCAAAACTCTCATTGCGTAGGTGAGTAAACGTCATGATAGGGCAACTGTAGAAGCTGACTGCACCTCAGAGATTTCGCCACATTCAGTCCTTGTGCAACCGGAAGATCGGTGCACAGGTTGATATCATCCGAATCCAATCGACCAGTCCTGTCAGCACGCGGAAGTTCACAATCTCATCGAAACCGGCGACTGGCCCATCGATAGTGGACGAAAGCGAGACAAATCAATCCTTCGCTTCATTCTGCGCCTACGGATCTAAACGAGCCCACCGCTATCGAGAAGCATAAACTCTCCATCATGTTCCAGGTCAATGCCCCCAGAGTCTGTTGCTGATTAGAAATCAAATCCAACGGCGCACTCACGACCAACGTGAGCGATAAACCCCTACGTACCTTTCTTTGCAGGCCGACTTGATAGGGCCCACGAAGACACTATCCATGTGCACAGCGTCTGATACCTGAGAAGTACAGAGGCGGTGCCTCTCACGTAGTGACTCCACACACAGGGTGCTTAAGTTGGTCCTCGACACCTTTGCCTGCTATCCGTGCATGGAGTCAGGGTCAGGGGTTCCAAACGTATAAAGTACACGGAGTAACGGCCGCTTAATCACCGGCGGCCGGAGATCAGTTTCGCCGATAGTGATGCTCGCACGCCCAATCACCACAAGTAACTCCAACTCAACAAACGGTCTTTTCCTCGCGCTGGGCAACGGTCTGCTGCACATTTTGTGCAACCCATGGTGCCCATCACGCGTATCGACCCACAAACATATCATGGTTTGCCCTGCAACGGACGGCAATTTGGTGGGTGATTATCACAAGAGGAGAGACATAGCCCTCCTGCTGCATTGTATTAATATGGACGTGCTCCTCTCAAAAAAGCTATGATCAGCGATAATAATTGACAATCAGGTCTTGCCAGCTTTATTTTACATCAATGCTTTCAATTTTGGTTGTCATCCAAAGTGACTGATTTTGCTGAAGAGAACTGCCTCAAATCAACGTCTACATTCCAAAATGCTTTGCCCTGGTCAAATACGGGAATTTCTTACAGCTGCTCGCCCACAGCGGGCCGACGCGCTACCACTCGCCGTTTAACACTGGGCTTCGCATCATTTTCCGACTGCCTTTTGGATCCAAAGATTGTACCGGCAAGGTGTCTTGTCTGTAAATTCCGAACGCTGTTTTGGAGCAGCCTGAGTTCTTCTCCGGTGGCTTCGATCGTTGCAGGGCGGTTTCCGTCAAGTCGCCATCTAGCGATATCCGAGTTCATCTTTTGGACCCTTCTCGATTTTCGTGACAAGTCCTGGCAGATCTTGCAAGGGCCTTTATGATAGGTAGTCGCATATATGAGCCTAAGCCCGCAGGTTTTGCCGATTCGCTTCTCCTTCAGACACTGATTCCGCATGTTCCCCCACTTGAAGAGGCCGCAGGCCCAAAGAGACTGCTCAAAAAAGCACATGAGATAAAGGAGATCGAAAAGAGCTGGACGCGAGCTTTGCTTTTACGTACTTTGCCGCTGGTTCGAGCTATGATGATGGCCAAGGGAGGGAACAGCGTCTTTAAACACATGCAAGACCTACCGAAGCACATCGACATGTCCTACTCCCCACTTTGACTTCGCCTCTCAACTTGACTATTGCCGTAATGATCTGAAGTTGTTGGAGGATGACCTAGAGTGGTATTTTCGAGTTCCCTGTCGTCAAACTGTGCCTTTTCACTTCTCCCAGTCGCATAAGAGATTTACATCGAGCACCACCCAGATCAGGTATTCATTCAAAGCTGCGCCGCCGTCGGTCTCCGCTCTGTCACTTTTACATGAGCTGGGACCACTTTCGAGCGATTGGTGTTTTTCCCCTAGTGGCCTTCGCCTATGCGCTGGTTGGGGTACTTAGAACAACTGCTCTTTGCCCATCCTCAGCGGCCAGCTCAGGTCTGAAATGCAGCGTACCGAGATAGGAAGCTACGAAGTGGACGAGCCAATGCCCTGATGGCAATATCCTGCAGCCCTGTAAAGGCAAGGCATTCTGAGCCTTGACATGAGTGCCCTCCACCCGGTTATCAGGATGGCACAACGTCTGGCATGAAGAACCCCGCCTTGCCATGTCGTATTTTCCCCACTCACGTTGCTTGAAACAGGGTGTTCTCTACCCTCGTTGACCAAAGACTGACAAATCCAAGTCTTGAAAAGCCGCGCCTCGGGTGAAAGGGCAAGACAAAGCCCGAAGGCCGTCAGATTAAGTCTCCACCCACCTTGAGATCCCAAGTGAACAGGGTCGCTGTTAAGACGACAACTGTTCCGACAATCTGGTTATTGGCTACTATTATCACAGCTCCAACACCAGCGCCACGAAGGCATGTCGGGTTTGCAAACATGAACGGTACCCCGGTTCCAACACGAAAGCTTCAGAGCTTTTCGCAAAGAAACAACATCCCAGCTCCAACACTAGCGTCGCGAATATCCCATTCACCAACACTGGAAGCACTCTCACCCGAAATGACGACTACTAATTTTGGTTGGTGTTGCGCGCAAATCAGATCACTCACCCCAAACCGTTGCAACGCAAGCTTTCATAAGCCAATTGGAAGGCAAGCCCAGCTCCCCGAGCGTTTAGTCTGTTGAGCCTTCAGAGGACCATGGACGCAACGTATCTTGCGCCCTTCTTGGTGTTGGCAAGATGCCCTGCACGAGGAGTGTATTGCCTCCCAGCGTCCGACTCGTCTGCTTGGTCGTTGAATCTTTGCCCTGCTTGTTTCATCCATCTCTCCCGGAATACAGCAGCATTTACCTCACGTCATGACGACGATGTTCTCCGAGATTCATGCTGCGGTGGAGCGGCTCGGTTATGAGCTAAATGATATCCGTCGCGGTGCGGAAGAGCGGGAAGCAGCCGCGAAGAGCGATCTGGACACAGACGGTAGCATTTCATACCAAAATCACAGCGATTCGAGAGCGAATGATACGGCTACAGGACCAAATGAAGACGTGTCGATAGGAGGAAGACGCTGCCTGTGAAAGACAGACAAAGATCGAGGTGGCCTACGATGCGGCTGTTCAGCACAGGCGCAACGTTTCTGCTTTTCCAAATACTCAAAATCTGGTGGGCAACATCAGCGCGACTTCGTAAGCCCACGCGATAAACGTAGCTTGACTTCGTATACGGGGGATACCCAGCTTCCTCGAATCGCGCGTCGCCCGTGCCGTCTTCAGCAAGATCTTTCTTAGACCCGCCCAAAGAGGCGGCAGGTCTTGCTGATGAATCACCAACAGTCGCCGAAGCACAAACTCCGTATCGTCCAGCGTCACCTGCGTCCATCCCCACCTCCCCAGCGAAGAGAACAGCCGAAGAAATATCTGAGAAGCCTATGTTAGGACGGCCATACCGGAGGTCGACTGGACGAAGCTGAAATCTGGCATTAGGCAGCCGTTTGGCTGTGAATACCTCGGGAATAGCTACGTTGTAGACCCGTGCGGTTCCGGGTACTCTTATCTGAAGTCGTCTAAGGTGGACAAGTTCGCCATCCCGGATCCGCCCAGAGCCGCTGCGAGACCGTTGGCGGACGATATCATCGTCTTTCTGGAAAAGGTGGCCAAGTCTCCACCACGAGGTATGGTGTCCTACTACATAGAGCCTCTCAGGTCCGACGTCGTCTCGATCTTCCTACCTGGCGATCTGCTCACCCGTATCACCACCATTGCCAGCGGGCACATTTCCTACGGGTCTGTCAGCGCCAGGTATTCTGGCATGTGCCTTCAGAGGAGCAATGGTGATCTATGGCTGTGCACTTTAGTAAGGGTTGGCTGGCGGCTATGGCTGGTAGTTTCAGACCGACACACATCAAAGTTCGAGTCCTTCATACGCCGACAATGGGGGACGGGCTCATGCGAACATTTCGTGCGCCATGCCTCTGGGTTCATATGTCCTACGAGGCTGAGGTCGGTAGGCATCGACTTCACCATCGAATGTGCGGGACCTGGGACATGGTGGTCATCAGACCTCAACAGTACTACGCGGTAATCAACTACTCAACCTGCATTGCCATTACGTTTGGCTTGTCTCATTCAGAGCAGCATGTGCCGCCTCTGAGTCCGGTTCTATGCGGACAGTGCGAGGTATGTATACGCGATCCTCTAGGTTCACAAACGGCCTTCCCACTCACACTGGGAGTTGGACGGGTCTCAGGCAAATCAGTGACAGCTGTGGCTTCGACAAGACGGATCGTGCCCGCGAAGCGATCGCGGCCACCGATCGACCTTACAAAACCACCCAAGAAGCGAAACAACGTTGGGCCTCGAGCGGAGCTGAGGCAAATTGTCAGAGAAGTCCTGAATATCGACGGATTATGCAAGATCCCTCGCATTGAGTGGAACAAGCCGCCACACCCAAACGTCTTAAAGCTTGCTCTGAGCGTCGGAAGCCGCACAGCTATACAACAGTTTTGCGGTCTTGTACGTAGTCGAAGAGACCCCAGCAATGACAGAATCCGGATCCGATGTGCTGGGGATCTTCACGCCCGCATTGGACAGCAACTGAATGCCATCCGACTATCGCGGCGACGATCCAGCATCGAGGAACTCATGATACGACTTAGTCAGTATTCGCTTGCCTGTGAAATCGAGCGGTCGAAGCTCGGCCGTATCAGATCCGATCCGGCGGTATTGGACGCGATTGCCAAGAAGGCCCGGTGCTCCAAGGCTGGCCTGTCCCGGCATACAAAGTTGGGCAACAAGTGGGTGCGACTCTGCCATGGTCGGGGAGAGCTAATGTGCTTTATTCTTTTGGACAGTGATAACCCGTTCGGCGTGTCCTCAACCGCGGTTCATGGTCTCAACGAAACGGAAATAGATGATCTGAGGGATCTCTTAGGTATAGACTATGTTGCCTCTCTATGCGCGTCAGCGAGTGCCTTCTTTGACTCAATAGAAGGCATCTCACAAGATATAGAGTTTGCTTGGGAGCTCTATGACCAGCCTTTGGACAAATTGCCCGAGAAGGAGATGCTGGCGCTCATGCGGCCAATTCTGCCAGTCAACAGAAACGCCTACCATCCTAATCATTATCCGACTTGGCCACGCCCGTAAGGTTGGCCGCGAGACTCAGACTGGCCGGCTGACCCCACTAAAGTCTCACATGACGACGATAAAAAATGCGACTTCTGCGACAAGGATATTTGCTTGTGCATTGAGGATGCCTTCTCTCGCAATAATGGTCATCCGACACCGCGAATCAAAGACTACGAGCAGTTCGGACGAGGCTTACAGGCTGTCGCCAACGAGGACGGACGAGTGGTGTACCAAGCGGGCGAGCTCATAGGTTTCCTTATGGGCGAAATCGTCCCTCTTGACACGTTTGATGACCTTCAGACGATGAGCTTCGTAAGGCCGGATTTGCGCGAGCAACCTATTGTTTGTCAACTACACTGTGGCACGTCGAGCAATATCTTCAGGCTGCTCAGCCATTCCTGCCGGCCGTCGGCACAATTTGCACAGGTGAAAGCAAGTGGGCAATATGTGATGACTGTCAGAGCAATTCGTGAGATTCCTGACGGTGCACAGATCACGGTTTTCTACGGGAGCGGATGGAAGACCAGGGCGTGTCTTTGTGAGACATGTCGAGGCCGAGACGTTTAATATCCATGCACGGAACAGTGTCTTATGGCTGATGTGGTTGGTATACCAACAAATACCTCCATATGTGTTTAATGACCAATGATAGCAGTACTTGAGATGACTTGGTGATGGTTGAGTTCGCCCTCAATGGGCCCGTCGACCCTACCTAATATGAAGCTCGTCTGAAGGGCCAAGTGTAAGGGAGGGCGCTTCCCTATTCAACAGTGTGATCAAGGGGTGATTCGTCGCCACTTCTGCCATGTTACTATGTGTAGGCGTCTCGATCTTTCTGCTTAGTAAATTGTCTTTGTTGCCTTTACTGGGCGTCATCCCTGGACGTCAACGTCCAGGAATGACACAACGCCGCAGCGCTGTGACGACGGCAAAATGTATTGACCTCAATCGGATATGTGCCCTTCACCCGATTATCAGAATGCCACCATGTCTCGCCTGAATCGCACCGCCTCTTCGCGTCGTATCTAGACCACGCCCCGTTGCTGCGGACAGGGGCCAAATGTGATTTCTACCTCCATGGCAGACGACTGCCAGATCCAGGTCTTGAAAGACGGGGCCTCAGTTGGAGACGAGCAAGGAGCGGAGATTCGGGAGAGAAGAAGCCCGAAGGCCTACAGTGAGTCTCCACTCACACGCACCTCCCTGACGGGATGCGATTGCCCTTAAAATTAGAGTCGTCCCGACAGTCTGGTCATTGGCCACAGCGAGCTTTGACCCAACAGTAGCTTTGCGAGAAGCGAATCAGGTTCGCAAAACCGAACGTTACCCCGGTTCCAACACAAAAGTTCAAGAGATTTTGCAAAGAAACATCAACCCGCCCCAGCACCAGCGTCGCGAAATGTAGATCTGGTTCGGATCCACGAACGCTACCCCGGTTCCAACAGAGTTTGAGAGACTTTCGCAAAGAAACATCATCCCGGCTCCAACTAGCGTCATGAAGTTCCCATGAGCACTCGCGCAACCTCACCTCGCGAGGAGTAAGAACAGCCAACTTTTGGTAGGTGTTGTGCGCAAGTCAGGCCATCCGCACTAAATTAATCACAAAACCAGCGCCGTTGCAACGTCGAGGCTTCATGGGCCAATTGGAAGTTAAACCCAGCTCCCCGGGCGTTTAATCGTCGAGCCTTCAGAGGAGCACAGTTTCAACCGATCTTACGGGCTCCATCATTGTGACAAACTGCCCAGCGCGAGAAGTGGATTGCCTTTCCCGCGTTCAATCCATTTGCTATTTCCGCAGAATCTCTGTTCGGCTTGTTTCGTCCAATCCATCCGCGAAGTACAGCAGCACTCACCTAACATCACGACGACGATGTCCCTCCCTGAAGTACAGGACGCAGTAGAGCGGTTCGGTTGCGAGCTGAATGATATCTGTCGCAAAGCGAAAGAAAGGCAAGCCGCCGCTCTGAGCGACCTGGATGCAGAGACGCCGGTACTCCAAACACAAGTCAGAGCGATTGACGAACGAATCAGAGAGCTACAGGAGAAGATAAGGACGTGTCGACGAGAAAGAAATGCTGTTTCTGAACGACAAACAGAGATCGAGGAGGCCTTCGATGCGTCTGTTCAGCACATGCGCAAGGTTTCAGCCTTACCAAATACTCAGACTCTAGTAAGAAACATCTACGCGACTTTGTAGGCTCACGCTGACTTCGCAGCTTGACTTCATGAACGGCGGAAATCCGGTTTCCTCGAATCGCGTGTCGCCCATGTCACCTTCTTCGGCAGGATTCTTCTTAGACCCCCGCGTGGAAGCAGGTCACGCTGATGAGCTGGCTCTGGTTGCCCAAGAACAGAGTCCGTATCATCTAGCGTCACCTGCGTCCATCTCCGTTTCGCCAGCGAAGAGACGAGCCGAAGACGCGCCCGAGGCGTTAGGCAAACGCCTTCGCAGTGTACCCTCAGCTGTTAAATCGGTTGAGAAGACGATCCGCTTCGATGAGCTTTACGACGATGGAACTGCGAGATACAAGCACAGGATCGTCCAGTACAACGAAGAATGGTTTATCCTCAGGTGCGACGAACACAATATGCACTTTCCGTACAGAGCGGCCTCTGCGGCAGGTTCCCATCTGAAAGCCTACGCTCACAATGGGCCCTCAGCTGCTCTTCCGGCCGTCATCGAGGCTTTCGGTATTCGAGTCATAGGATGTGACAAAGAAAAGGCCGAGCTGAATAATGAGAGATTTCAGAGGGCTTTAGATGATGGATACCAGGTGTTGAAGTCCGCCAAGCGACGCAACGCACTCGGAAGCATGCGAGGTGGTGTGTACGTCCGAGCTGAACATGTGCGTGAAGTTCGCTAATATGCGCCAGCAGATGATGGTGACATGGTTGAGGAAATCGTAGTCGCTTGTCCGAATGACTCCAGGTCTCTCGTATGCGTTCGTCAATCTTCCGTCACGGCATCAGACATCACCTTGCTGAACGATGCCGCAAACCCTCATAGCGAGGCACGCGGTGTTGCCGGTGCTCTCGGAATCGGCACTTGTGGACAGCAAGGACTGTGTGAAGAAGAAGGACGCGAAGGGTTCACGGCAGTGGCGAGCGGTGCTAATCCGTCGGCGATGGAGCGTAAACAGCACAATAGTTCTGCCGAACAATGCGGATGGAAAGAGGCGAGGAATGCAATCAACAGAAATCACGAAAGCCAGCCAAGCACAACGTTGGAGCAGACGTGCTCCACGATAGCTGTCTGTAGTCAGGCAGATGGATCGTTGGGGGATGATCAACAAAGCGATATGACCAGCTCGGGGCAGTGGTGGCAGGTAGTTGCTTGAGACTGCCTGCGGTGTCTCATCACGCAGGCATGAGGCGAGGGTAACAGCATGATACGTATATTTTTGACTATCAGCGACGTTCAAGGATCCGTTCAAATTGCTGTATCATTGCTCCATGGTGCCACGATGTGTGATGAGGTATGCTTCCGGCACAAATTTGTTCTTCCAATGTGCACGATGGCATCTTGTTACCGGATGATTCGGCCTCCCCTTGGACCCTGATGAGAGTCGCCCGCGACGTATGGAGGGTGGGGCGGCACTGGTTAGATAATTTGCAACACAATCATGCCTTCAGAAAAATGATGCGGATGTGACAGAGAACCTATTTGCCTTGGCGGGCTGGGGCAAGTACAGCGTTCATGCTTGTCGGTACCATACACGCAAGACCGAGAGTTCTCCGGTGTCCGATGTGGGGCATTTTGCCGGTCTTGACGATCCGCCCAACTTCTCTCAGCCGTATCGGGGATTTGGCCCCAATTGTTCCAATGCCGAAATTGAAACCCTTGGCCGCTGTCACCGGGGAAGCGAGCCGGGAGCAGGCACTCAATCGTGCTTCGGATCAATTCCCCCGGGCTGTGCTAGAGATGGTAAGAATCCAGACTGGCGGCCTCGCGTTCGGCCAGTGTGATCACCAGTCTTGGATTGCCATCGGGTAAGGATCATCTGCCCAATGTAACATGCTCCTAGGATTGGGAGCTCCAACAACAGCTCGCTGCGTGTATCTATGTGCAGACCAACACTCATCAAGCGCAAGAAGACAATGCCAATCTGATGAGCGACAGGTACTTTGGATAGACGAGACCGGTACTTTGCACGCGGTAAATACACACAGACCAGGCGCGCATATGTTGGTCCGTATTGCCTTTGCCCGCTGCGCAGATGGACCAGGGATTCTAAGTGCATGCATCATAGCACAAGAGTGCAGTGCGGTGGGCTACGGTCACTTGACGAACGATGGTTTCTGCGGATGGATGTCGGTCACGCCGGCAATGGTACCCGTGTAACCCAATCACTATTGGTAGTTTGCCGCTGTCTGCCCCAACGCGACCAACGCCCTCTTCTTTCTACTTGTCATTGGTCTGCGATAAGCCCTGCGCTAAACATAACGACTACTAGTCCAGCCGAGCTACACGGTGTACCTTTGCTGAGGTCGCTTGTTTCTCTTAGCGAGCTATCTCGATAAGGATAAGCGCGTCTCGCCGAGATGAATGCTCTTGTAAACTACGCACAATCGGACCATCCGTGAATTTACGCCATCTGTGAGTATGCCCATCATCTCGCTGTCACCATCTTCCAACGCACCGTCGAATTCATCACTTTGCCCGTCGCTTCCGTTCAATGTACGGCTCGACTTTCCTCCCCCTCCGATAGTTATCTGAGCGACCCAAGTATGTGCTTGACTTGGCCCAAGAGCGCAATATCTCGTAGTCCTCCACACCCCCCGAAGGAGATCACTCTGTTCCAGCGGCACTGGCCCAGCCGCGGTGTTACGATTGAGAAAGTTCTTGGGCTCTTGTAGCATTATGCTCTGGCGTGTTCTTGCGGCACAGCACAAAGAGGCCATGGATGCCAGATGTTAGGATGGTGTCGTTGCCAGCATGGGCGCGGCCGTTATTGGCAACTCTATGAATACTTATGCCCGTCTAGAAGAAGATGGGTACTTATCCCCAGCCGGTTTTGGTTCGAAAGCACATTGCCAGTGCACTTCCCTTTTTGCTCCTTCTTTTTTGACGAAGAAAGCAGCCATGAACCACCGGAATGCCACTATTTTGCAGTTGCGTAACGATGCGAGCATGGTTCTGGCCAGCTTCGACAGGAGCATCCAAGACCATATCCAGCGGCTCACCGTCTTGGATTCCTTGAGCGTGCGCAATCCTGAACTTTCCGTCTCAGATGATGGTGTTTTAGGCTTTGCCTTTCTACGTGGCGTTGAGCGTGCCACCGAGCATCTGCGCAATCAGATCGCCGCGTGGGCATCGTGGCTTCGTGAGTAACTCATACCTCATTATGCGTGTCATCGATGCAAACCCTCATTGCAACACAGACAACTCTGCTGCCTCCAATCATGCGCAGACGGACACGCAGTTGTCCACTCTACATGATTTACGATCTCGAACACAACTCGACAAGCAGAAGGCATCCGTGTTATCTTCGAACGAAGTACACGATCTGCCGGCAAACCAAGAGAGTGAAACAACACTATTCCTTCCCACCCATCCTACCGATCACGGAGGCCACGATCTATCGAGCTGGTATTTTCCAGCAGTGCAGAGGTACGACACGCCGAGCCTTGGCCGGCTAGATATTTCGCCGTCATATGATCAACTAGATGCGAGCCCAATGTCCCATCCCATTCCCGACATGGGGCTCCTACCTAGCGTTGAACCGATGCAAGATGATGCGATCAGTTTGTGCGGCGATCGAGACGTTCACGGGCCTCGCGTCGAATGCACTCCTGATGATACCGAACTATTTGTCCAATCCAGCATCGAGGCAAGCCCCATACCCGATGCCCAGTCTCCGGCAAAGTTCACGATAGGGGTCAGATCGGATAAACCTACTGGGCAACCTGCAGAAGCTACCATTTCGTTCAATGACAAGGGCAATGTCGAATCAGGAGCCAAACTTGACACTCAGTCTCTGGGCCCTGGCTCGAACATCCGGCCTGGTCTCGCTGGCCACATCGAGTCTGCAGATATCCTCTTTCATGAATCCAACCTGGAGGCTGTTCACGATGACGAAAATGCCGAGAACCACTCTTGCAAGAACTATGACCGCCATTCAGAACCAATCGATAAGTTAATCGATATAGCGGTTGAGTACGTCGACGCCAAGAAGCTATTCTGTCAAAGCAAAGCACATTTCAGACAGAGGCTAAGTCAATTTTTTCCGGCAACATTTGTTGACGATACCCTTTTTCTTCAACTTCTTCGCATGATTACTGAGGACTCCAGATTTGTAGTGATTGACCCTTTGCATTCAAGACTCCATGAAGCCTTTCCACATCATGTCGTCGAAGCATTTTCGATGGATTTTGACGGACTTGTCTTGCCCATCAACGTCAACGTATCTAACCAAATGTTGAATGCGGATAGGAATCACTGGGTTATCGCAATCATCAACCCGAGCACGCGGACATTTGATGCCTTCGGGATGCAGGAGGATTCATTCCTTTATTGGGGCGCAAGAGTCGACGTCCTTGCCTCGGAACTTCTTGGACGGTCTGTCGAGCTTAACAAGCGGTCCCGTCAGGTACGATCCACCTGCCAATTCCCTTCCGAGCCTCTTCGTCTTGCTCATGCTACTTAGCTAGGGCCATACACCCACGATTCTTGTTGCGCTTTTCTCTGCTCTTATGCCCTGGACTGTTACCTCGGGGCGGGTTCTCAGCGCGAAGGGAAATGGCCCACGGGACCTGAATTGAGGGAGAGTTACTTCCGTAGGCTTCTTATTCACTGGGGAGTGCCATCCGGTTCCCTCCCAGTTCTTACGCAGCTGACGGATTTCGACGCCCTCGATAGTCCACAATCGATAGCTGCGTCATCACACCTCGACAGCTCCAAGCAAGTACCTTGCACTGGAGGGCGTCACCACTGTCTGTTCAGTGACCTGCAGGAATTCTACAACTCGAGCGGTTGTAATCTCGGTCAACTGACGGATGCGTTGATTGATACCGAGTCAGCCCTCAAGATTGAACACAAAGCCCGTCTGGTCCAGATGATTATGGAATGCCGCCCCCTTCCCGAAGACGAACACAGCTCAGCTCAGTTGAGCAGTGGCTCATGCTCGTTGAAGGAATTGTTTCATGAGATTAACGAGATGAAATCACTGTTTCAGTTACATAGCTTCCAGCATAGGAGCCTTCTTATCGAGACGGCGAAGGAGTTCGAGGTTCAGCTGGAAAGAGTGAGAGAAAAGCAACGAAACAAGAGATCTCTTGCGAAGGCACGATGGAAGAAACAATCGAAAGAAGCTAGCTCTCAACAGCCGAGCAAAGTGTCCAAGAAAAAAAAGCTCCAGCGGGAACCCGAGACACTTGTCCAACAAGGACAGCACGAAAGGGGTTCTCGCGAGACCGCTGAGAGTAAAGTGATACGGAGAGCGACTGGGATCATCACGGACAAACCCATGGATACTCCGTACTATAAATACGTCAAAGAAGGACGCATCCTGCAGAACCTTGAGAGGGATATAGGCTGTGGTATTCTGAGATGTTTGCCAGGTGCAGTCATTCGGCCCGATGAAACAGTCTTGAGATTCCGAAATGCACGCAAGTGCTTCAATCTATTGAGACAGAACATCGATCCGATACAGTAAGTCTAGACATATTGTCGATTCATAGCTTTGCTGACAGCCCTTTAGATACAACAATCTCAATCATGACGGGATAGCCTTTTTCAAGAGATGGTTCAGGGCTTTGCACCCAGAGCTGGGACCATTCACATAGGGACTGCATGTATTTGTAGCTGACCAGCCGAGTTCAAGACTCGTCTATAAGTGCGTCATAACTCTTGCGAGAGCTCGCGAATAGCATGGAACTTACGACCTTCTTTGGCATGGTATCTGTACGAAATGTATTACAGAGGAAATCAAAGTCTTCGAGCGACCAGTCTGTTCTGACCCTTCAGCCGACTCCTTCTCACCTTGGTTTCCATCTCCTCATAATCGATAGTGTGATGGCATTGGGGAGCGCTAGACTTCCTATAAGTACCCTTCCTCCCCCCAACTCTCCCCTCATCTTTTCCCTCTTCTTTCGACTCTCCCTCGTCTCCCACCTTTGTTTCTCTTCCCTTGTCTCTTCCCTCAACTACCCTCCTTCAATGCTCGATGGGGGTGGCACTGAGAGAGATCCCCTCTCTTAGTGCCACTCTGGTCAACGCTTTCCCCTCTTCTCGATCTTTTTTCTCTCCCTTCTCTCCTCGACTTTTGCCCTCTCCTCTCTCGCCTACCACCTTTCTTACCCTTTCCTCATCTCTCCCCTCAGCTCTCTTCCTTGGACACTTGACAGATAAGGGGGGCACTTAGAGCGAACCCCCTCGCTCTAAGTGTCCCCCTTGTCAACGCTTTGCCCCTCTCTTTGATGGTTTCTCTCCCCCCTCGACTCTCTTCCTCCTCCGCTCGACCCTCTTCCTCCTCCGCTCGACCCTCTTCCTCCTCCCCTCGACTCTTTCCCTTTCCCTTCGACACTTGACAGACAAGGGGGACACTTAGAGCGAGGGGGTTCGCTCTAAGTGTCCCCCTAATCGATGCTTTCTCCCCCTCTCGACTCTTTCCTTCTCTCCTCCACCTTCTCCTTTTCCCGGTGTCTCTATCCCTCTCTCCTCTCTACACTTTTCGCTTCCCTCTTCTCTCTTTCCCTCCCTCCTTTCTCTCCCTCTTTCACTCTGTCTTTCTCTCTCCCTCGTCTCTCTTCCTTTCCCTCCTATAGTCCCTCCTCTTCACCCCAGTCCCGCCGATCCTCTCTTCTCGCAATTCTGCCTCCTTCCGCTCGTCGCTGTCTCTATCATTTGGAAGTTCTTTCTCTCCCCACATCTCTGACTCTGGAGTTGGTTCTTCGTAATCTTCACCTTTCGTCCTGAACAAATATTCTCGCGCTTTTTGCGCCTTCATGAGGCTCAGCATAATATATTATCCTTCCTCCGCTATATTTGTTTTGAACAGCCACCCTCTTAGTATCATTCTCTTCTAGTTTCAATAACATCTCTTTTCTTGCCTTTGATCTCTCAACATACTTCAAAAGCGCGACTCGTAGTTGCCATTCCTACGTCAAATAAATCCACAGCAAAAACAACTTCTTTGATCAGCCAATCTTGAACTTCCCAGAGACATAGTAGGAAAAATGGATTTACCAGATATCTGCCTGCGTGTATATCCAGTCCTCGAAGGCATACTCATCCATCTATCCGCGACAGATGCCTCCGCGTTCCTCTTTGCCGCGCGTTTAATAACAAAGATATCTTCAGAAACGAAGCGTAGATATCTTAATCTTCTCAGAGACATACCGGAACATATGGTGTGGATAGACGCGAAGATCAGAAACGGGCACAAGGCTTTCATCATTGGAAACGATCTCCGTACACTCAGGCGTAGAATAGCACAACCCCAGTCTGAAAATCAGGAGAGAAGCAGACTCTACATCTGGCTTGCAGTCATACCTATACACGCTGTGACGTCGACAATCATAGCAACCGACGTTGATGAAACGTACCTCATGGACTGGAATGGCAGGGTCCGCAGACGAGATGAGCTACACGAATTGCACGGGAGTCATCATGAAGTCCTGTTTCCTTACTCGCCTAGTCTCTCGGACCTGCAATCCCCGTACCTATCGACGATGTTTGCCCCCCGCACACCCATCATGCGGCCGATTTCCGACAATGCAGATCATTGTGATTGGTACCTCAGCCCAATTTCCAACGATAGCGATATCAGAGTCATCTTCATGGCTTCATCTTCTGCGTGGAACGAAGGACTCCATGTGCATATGTCTACATCGTTGAGCGAGACGGCTTCGCCACAGTCGAACGTACTTGGCACCGACCAGTCTAGCGTCGCATATTTCGATATCAATGATGGTAGGGAAGGGGTGACGCATACATACTCAGGAAGAGTCATGCAACGTTGTCTCAATGAAGGATTTGTTCCAATAATCATTACCCTTGGGCCTCCCCTAAACAGCCATTATGGAGACGAGAACAAGGAGCATTGGGTTGTACCAGCCTGGAGCCTTCCTAAAGATGACTAGAGATCGTTGACCGTGGAGATATAAGGATATCTCGATCGCAAAAAATCCACTATTCACCAGATTTGAAATGCTTTCCATACTCACTACCTTTCTGATCATCTGTTTCCCCTTGATCTTGCGCGTGCTGCAGAATCTCTGGCCTTCCCTGTTCGCGTACTTCGCCCTCACGGTTTGCATCGTCGCGATATTTCTGCTTCTCACAATCTTCTTTCGCATGCCTTGGACGCATCACTTCCGATTGAGATAGTTGTAAGAGGACAACTAGCACAAGACGACAGATGACTAACGAAAGTTTCACTAGATGCGCTTCCCAAAATCAACATCCAAGCTGGCGGTCATTGGAAATGATATAGTGAGCCAACTCCGATTCCGATATCTGTCAGTCTCGCCGAGATTTCAGGAGCATCTTCGGTCCTTGTCGGAGCCACGCGTCCTGGCGTGCGATAACTTCCCGCCCCCTCGAAGATAAACCCTGAGTCTTGAGGCGTTAGTGGTAATTGGTATCGGAGACCCCTCAGCAGAGAGCCCTCGACGATAGCATTACAGCCGTTTGAAAGAGGCCCGCATCAGCAAGCCTCGACCACATCAACTTACGCCCCCTCTGCGTAAACCCAATGTTGAGCGGATGTCAACTCGAGTCGGTATGCTCATGGATGCTGCTGGCTCAGCACGAATCTGTATTCAGTTATCATGATTCTGCTAGGAAGTGAAACACGTACGGATATGGTTGCGAGTATTTGGAATTGCGAATGCCGATTTCAATTCTTCTCCAGCGCGAACCTTTAGAGTTACGAGTATAAGTTCATCTATTTATGTGCACGCTCCCTCGCACTTAGATTGTGAATGAGACCTACGCTGTACCCCAAAATACCATCATGATTCGCCTTGTAGGGGTTGTTCAAGTTCCTCTTGATTGCCTTCAGATCCTGGAGTTGGGGCAACGCATATATGACCCAGACCGCTGTGATTATCTAGCTTCCGTCTTCGACGGCCACCGTATCAGTCCTGAAAGGGTTAGTAACCAAATTGATGGCATCATCCTTGAACAGACCCTGCAGGAAATACTTTTGACCCTGCGAATTTCGGCCAAAAGACTCGAAATCACTCTCACTCATAGTCCGTATCCTCAAATATTTGGCCACAACGTTTATTATCTTCAAGGTCGCCATCGCCTCGAGGCAGCCAAAAAGTCGCGTGATGCCCTTACATGGGTCGTGCGACTGCACGTCACTGACAGCTGGCAAAACTTCATCCACGATGAAACAAGGTTCATCAAGAGTCAAACCGACTGGTACAGTCATGAGAGGGAATGGTCAGACGGAGACATTTATATCAAGCTGAGAGACTCTCAGATACGCCGCGATGAAAACACAGAAAGACAGTTCACCGTACGACTGGGGCCCATGAAACGTAAGTCAATGGCGGTCATAGAGGCACGCCCGGAAATCCAAAATATGCTGGATAGATTCACAGGTTTCCCCGGTTTACTACAAGGACTCAAACTTGGCATGTGGTATAAGTATTGCCAGTGGCTTCATTTGGATCCCGAAGTGACGGCATACATGCAACGAATCGCACGTGTGAGTGCTGAAATGACAGACGGCGTAGGTGAATTTGAGCGATGCATAGACGTCAATACGATTAGAACACTTGAGGGACGTTTATCTTCGAGCGCTGTAGACCGAAAAGTCATCCAGCGGGGTTTCAGTTCCGGTAGACTTTTCCCAAAGGTGATTGACAAGTCCTGGCGAGAGAGGATTGAGTACAACGTGCTCAAAATACCCGTTCTCATACCCAGCCTCAAGTCTTTCCATGAAAACATGAAAGTCTTAAGCACGGCAGCTCAAATCGTGAAAACCCTTTTGCTACCGGACCACACACACGAGAAAGGGACATTGCAGCAGCAGCTCCAGGAGTTTTGGAACCCATCTGCTCGCCTTGTCGTAGAAATCTCAGAAGGACAGTTTCGGTATGGGATGGGATCCTCATCTTTCGAAGTGGCCTACGTTCATTTGATGCTAGCGGCCATTCGTCAGTTCCCATCTCTGCAACATACCGACAGCCCTCGGGTCAGCAGGGGCAGAGCGTATGTGTCCCACGTCGACGCAGCGTGTCAATCGCTTTTTTATCGACGAGCTCACTTACTAGGCTTCCGAAACCACGTCGTTGCGCAAGGCTGTCGGATGCGAACACAGCCTTTCGACTTTCCTAGAGGGGAATTATTACCAGACGAAGAAATTCACTTTCTTTCAAAGGTAGACCGTCGTTGGGGCCGGCCGCACATTGAGACCTTTCAACAAATACAGCAAATTCTTTTCCTGCCTCGTCTGATTGAAAGCGAGGATAGCAATGAGATATCAATCATGCGCATTCAGAAAGATTTTGTCAATGCTTTTTTCGGGTCTTATTCATTACAGTTAGATGGTTCCACGCCGATCATAGACATCAACACGGAAAAAGCAGCTGGATGCCCAAAGTCGGTCTCAGCAATGGGTCCCTTTGACTACCGGTCTCAAGTAAGTGGGGTATACAGGCCCTGCGATAAGGAGGACGTGTCAATGTCAGGGACCGATTATGAGGAAGGTGCCGCAGAGGACGTCGTTATGCAGGACTCACTTTCTGAGCAATCGTCGTCTTCTGATATTTCAGAAAGGACGATGAAATTGAAAACGGAGAGCCGTCGAGACATCATGACGCTTGATTTCAATAAAGCCCCTCTACCGAGGATTCGGGCCGCAAATCGTCAAGCAAAATCTAAACTATCACCAAATATCCTGCCGTTTAGTGATGCATCAGATACACAAACCCATCGAGATGCCGGACCTGGAGGACTTCAAGGCATTGGAGAAGCGTTAGCCGCGCGAAAAACCGGTCGCTTAGATACTTGCATCTCTGATCATCCCAGCGTGAACTTCCTCCCCCAGGGTCCCCAACTTCAGCGAATCTCAAGCACAAGCATACCATTCTCCACGTCGACAAGGCATCCAGATTCAAGTCTGTTTTTGTTACCAGAAGAACAAGGGCACAGGTCTCTACAGCCATCGTCTCGTCTCACGCCCGGAGAGACCAGATCGTTCGGCTATGTTCACAATCGGGCATCCCAGCCGAGCACTCCGCAAAGTTATCAACAGAGTAATGCCCGAACCATCGGATTGCCCGACTTTGGCAACTACGATCTCAAAAGAATCTCATCATCTCAAGACCATAACTCTATGATGGCGACAAGCCTTTCTCCATGTGAAGAGATCAAGTTGAAACGAATATCTAGCCTTCAAAACAGTAATTCATCTCACTCTTCTAGCACAAGAAGCTCAAGCATCAAGCAACCCCAGAGAATATCAAGCTCTCATGACGCACGCACCACGTTGCCATCGTATTTACCGTGGCAAGTCTCTTACCGCCGAATCAAATCCGAGGAGGGAGAGATGGCGATTGATTCTATGCCCATACACTCGCCGCAAATTATCGGAGCGCAGTTGCCCTCGAGCTTGAACAGAGTCCAGTCAAGGGATACGATGTTGGGCGATCGATACCATGAGTACAACTTCAATGCTGCCATTGACTCTTCTGATCCATTTTCACTAGACGGATCGAGTATCACGACGAGATCTACATTGCTGAGCTTCTCGGGAGATAGGGCTGGTCTGAATCACGGCTTAGACGGTATACAGGGGTTCGATGATAGCGAGGATAGCATGATTCTCTGAGTAATATTTATAATTTGCATTCTTTATGACGACTCCGGGATGTGACTGAATGTAATCTATACGGACGTTTCATGCTGTGTGTCTGGTACAACTGCGTCATAATGAACGGATTCTTTGTGACCAGCTAAGGTAAGCTTGGCTAGGCTGAGTTTCCGGGTACGACAACCCAAGTGTCGCGATGTTATTGCATCATTCCCTTTTCAGTGACAGAATTTGTTCTCCTACATGCTCTTGGGATGTTACGCTGCATTACAAGGTATCATTGATGCACCAGAGGGCGCGGAGATCACACTTTCAAATGTATAGGTGATATATCGTACAAAGCGAGCACACGAGATGGTCGTTTGGTGGGAGGCGGTCTCGTGCGGCACAACGCCGGGCAGCGTCACGATAGCATTTCTCGGACGTTCACAACTGGGATCAAACAGTGGGCCGTGTGAAAAATGTGAAGTGTTGACATGTATCACAAACTTTCCTTTCCAAGCGAAGTGAACATAAAACCTCTAATAAAATAACACTGATAACAAAACATTGGACGCTGTGGTACAGACCATGTTTCTACCAATCTCAAGGTCTCAATAGACTGAAACAAAACCCGAAGCAAGTGCAAGTCATTCACCACCATTGATATTCACTTAGTACAAACTTGATGACGAGTATCTTCGACTGCTGCGCTTCTTTCTCCTCAGCTCTTGACGAGCCTCCTCTCTCTGATGTTGGGTGTAGTACTGCTCCCCTTTGTCGAGCCTTACGAGAGTTAGTCAGGTAAGCTTCACCGTCACCGCTGTACTCACGCAAGCTTCGTGAGCACATAAGCACTGCAGGCTATGAGAGTTGATTTAAGGAGACCCATGATGGAACGAAGAGGCTGACTTAATTGGGCAATCTTGGGTCGGCTCAGTGCTTAGCATGAGTGTTCAACGTAAGTAGCTACTCGAGGCAGAGGACTACAATATATACAGAAAGCTCACCTCTCGAGATCGAAGACGATACAAGCTTAAAATAGATTGCATGCATTTGCAGTAGCGTCTGTGTTGTAATCTGTGTATGTTATCGGGATTTCTCCTTCAATTTCGCTTAATCTCCTCTGCTGTTCTTGAAAGTCTGAAACTGTTATTGTGATATAGCCACAAAGATCAGCTAATGTGCGGTCATGTAAGGAAATAAGCTTTTTCTGTTTGGTGTTTTCCGTTTGTGTCTCTTCCAGTTGAGACTGCAAAGACAACACCTGAGATTGCAGTTGCGAAATGAGCAAAGACTGTCGCTGAGCGCTCTCTCCGCTGCAACGGCTGCATCGACTTGACTGCGAGTGTCTCTCATGCGGAGAGGGTTCATATGAGGGTTCCTGGTCTGAAGCTGTGTCATCGAGCAAGCCTTTCGATGGTCTGATCGGCCTGGCCGGCTTAGACGGCATAAGTGGCCTAGGCCTCATGGGCGAGGAAGGTAATCTTGGCAGCGGCTTTTCTCTTGACATCGCTGCTTGACATGCGTGGAGAGAGTGTGTGGAGACGGCGGCAATGGTCATATTAATACTCAGGCCCACGCTACAGACATGCATATGAACATATTCAGAATACAGGAAAATGGTTTAATGAAGCTTTAGCAAAGAAAGAAGAGAGGAAACCATCCTAAGCAATGCATCCTGCGCTACCTAAGCTAGTACAGATCATACATGTTACAGTATTCGTGAGTTTCGTAGTCATCGCCGCCTTTGCCGTCAGCAGCACTCTCACTCGAGTCATCCTCAGTAGCGTCATCGGAGTACTCATCCCCACTACCATAGTCGCAACGACTGCAGTTCATCGCCTGCTCCGTCAAATGCTGGTTTATCTCGGCCAGTTCCTCCTTGATTTCGTCGACTTTGTCTTCCAGCTTCGCGAGACGCGCGTCTTGTCTGTTCTGGCTTTCGTGAATCCACTCCATAACTGCCTCGATACGGTCGAGACTCGCTATGATGTTTCTTTCCAGTTAGCATAGAGTACAGACAGATGGTCGCTTCACCCACCGTTTCTCTGTCTGGTCGACGGAGGCTGATGCATACCCAGAAGGGTTGGCCGCGTAGCCGTTCCAAGTGTCAGCCTTGTTTGAGGGTTTTTGAATAGCCGTGGAAGGGTAATCCATGGTGTTGTTTGAAGGAAACGATGCGAGGCTAGTGTAACCGAGATAGTCCTGGCTTGGGCTCAGCTTGCTGGCTTCCAGCGCAGGTGAAGTATTGGTATATGCCAAAAGTTGAAGGATTTCATCATTGGACATGTCGCCGAAGTTCATGGGGTCAGACATGGTGAAAAGAAATATGTAAAGTGAGGCAATGGGATCGGTGTCGTGGAATAGGGAATTGGGGCGGTCACGTTTGACACTATCTCAGACTTCAGTCTCTTTTCTCCCGTCATGAGAATATATATCTGAAAAGAATCCCTCGAAACAACGACAGCACTGCCCAAATTAAGCGCCCATCTAAGCGATTTTAAGCGCTGTCTGTTTTTAGTACGCGCGTTGACGCGATTCGAGATTCCTTCTTCGAACTTCGTATTGCAGTTTCGTGGAAACACAATTTCATTTCGCTGGTGATCATATTTAACACACGCTGTTTCCGTCGCGCTTTTCGAGTTAGGGCAGAACCTGACAACCCAGAAACAACATGAAGTCCTTCACCTTCATCTTCTTCGTTGCCCTTATTCCCAGTGTTCTATCAATCAACTGGTTTCCCGCCATCTGCACTTGGGATCCTCCTATATCTGTTGAGGCCGGAGCTTCGCTTTCGGCAAGGTTGGTGTCCGTGCATCTATGAGATCCCCAAGCTAAGAAAATGGCAGAATCGATAATCCCTGGGGCGGCCGCTGCACGGCAACCCTGCGACTCACTGACTCCGAGTTTCTGCCTATCAATTGGTCCTTCGAAGCCATTCAATGTACCGATTTTGAGCTCGCCCAGCTGTCTGTGCCGGTAGATTTGCCAAATGGGGACGCATATATTATTTGGTGGGTGTGCGGCTCGCGTGTTCGAGGCAGTTGCTGACTCTCCACAGGCAGTGTGCGGGACAGGCGGCATTGACTTGCAGCCACGTTGAGATCAAGAACGGGCGGGGTAACATTGGTGCGGTGAGTCTGGATCAGAGTGGCACTGTTGGCTGTGTCTCTAGCACACGCCAGACACTGACCACACTCATCACACGGACAAATCCTGCTGGAGTGCAAGTCGAGACGTCGTTGTCCACCTTAACAACCGCGACCACCAGTTTTCGGACTGATACTGCTGACCCCGCAGTGGCTGGTGCGCCGACGTTGACGGCGGCCGTTCTTACCGACACTGTGCTGACGGCCACTGGTGCGGCCACTACTCCAACCCTGGATGCACCACCGACCCCGCCCGGCACCACCGCAGGCAGCCAGAACGCAGATACCGGCCTACCAACGACAACCGGGAACACGCCGACCGCAGCCGGGAACGGGATTACGTCTGTCACGCCACTCGCCGGTGCAACCACGGCGACCATCATGCCGCCCAATCCGCCGACCGATTCCAACGGGCGGCCTGAGACGACCTTGGCTGGTACAATGCAGACGGCACGCGCCCTGACGTCTCCTCTACTGACGAGTACCGCAACATTGACCATTACCGATTGTATAGTCCCTTGTGCGAATACTGTCGTCCCTGTCTGATCCCATCGGAGGTCTCGGGAACAATTGCAGTTTGTGGTTTTGCTTACTTGGACTTTTGACATTGACGCGTGTTCCGGGAATGAGTTGCCTGTTCACTGGAGGCCGAAGACGTTTTCCAGTTTCGGATAACATGTAAATTGATTTTATGCAGTCTACTCCCGGCTCTTCTCTCAAGTGCGACGTGTGCAATAAAATAGGCCACGTCGGCCTTTCGTTCAGTGATAGCATCCCACTTGTGTTCAACATGGACAAGCTTCCACGAGAGCTTGTTCTCCACATCTCCTCTCACCTATTCGTCCCGGATCTGTGCAGTTTTCGTCTCGTAAACCGTAGTCTTGCTGACTTAACGTACCCTGAAATTGGTAAACATGTTTCACTGCTCAACGTCTCTTCGTCCGTAGAGGATTTTGTCCTACACTTTAGAGATCGTAAGAAGTCGTCGTGCACAAAGTCTTTGACCGTCTATCATGGGGAGTGGCCGGTGTGTTCGCGAAAGGAATGGCAAGTTCACCCTCTCTCCCTTTACGAAATTCATCCACGGGCTTTCTTGGACGCTGCCATAGACGAGGTTTTTGAGCGCTATCTCCGTTTCACATCACTGCAATGGGACAGACCCAATCTCAAAGATCCCAGTGCGTTTTCCATGCTACTTTCAACGCTGCCACAAGTCAAATCCCTTACCTTGTCTCCTCTGCGCCTGTCATCTCGCCATTGTTGGTCCATCAATAAGAGAATTGGTCGCCTAAGAAGCAAAATGTGGATTTCGCCTTCTTTCAACGACTCAATGGCACCTCTGATAGGTGCATTCCTTTCCGTAAGCGAAAGATTCCCTCGTATCAAAGAGCTCATCGTCAAAGGCAGGTTGAACCCACAAGACGTCTCTCTTACAGCGGACACCTGCGTTACCAGGCTTGAAATTGTCTCCTTGGTGTCCGTGGGTGCTCGATCCGAGGCCTTTCTCGCCCTCATCCACCGATTTCCCAAACTTGAACACTTGAGTGTCAGACTTGAGACGGCGAACAGTATTCATGTGCCAATCTCAGTGCATGGTATTCAAATTCAAAGCCTACGCAGTCTGTTCCTCGGAAATCTGTGGATATCTGAAACATGGTTGACACGGATCATTGACCAAAACAGTTGCATGAATACAGTCGGGCTTACAGATATCACATTGACAGAAGGAACTTGGCAATCTTTCTTTACTCGCCTCAGAAACAATAGCCGCTTGTTGAACTTCACCTGTAACGGTGTGCTAGATGGAACAAGCCTTGACTGCCCTGCCCTCGTGATGGAAGACGATAAGAGGTATTTATTGTACCGATTTCTAAACTATGAACAGTCGAGATGGCCGTTTAGGGTATTCAAGTTTCGGGAATCGATTTACGTTTAAGTGTAATTCAAAATGATTGAGTCGAGTCAAGTAGATTGTTGCGTGAGAAACATATGAATTTGCTATAAAGTCTGTCTGTTCCGCGTTACCCTTGGTATTCATTCCCGCCTACATGTTTTACACTTGATCGAGGCCTGTGTTAAAAAAAAAAACTCCATCATCAAAGACATGAGTTCTCATCACTTGCATTTTGAACACGACCCTGGCCAAGGTCAAACTCCTGCTCAGATCGATCCATCCTTGGGTTTCATAAACCTGCCGCCTTCGGAATATCCGCAAATTGATTTGAATTCGGAGTATGCAATCCCAGGCCCATATCCGCATCCACAATCACCACTCCACAGCCGTTTCAGCACCGAGCCGGAGGCAATTCCGAGAGTGTCCGCACCCAGTCCGAGTGAGCAGGACCCCGTAGCTGTCTCCTTTGGATGGCATTGTGCTACAGATGAACGAGCTTTGCAGCGTTCTTGCTATATCATGAAGGAGATTGCGAAGGGAAAATTAGCAGATCCGTCCATGGATCCAATCTTATTCCAGGATATTATGAGTATCCATGATCAGACACACCCAGAAAAGATGTCTCTGGTGCGTGAACTGTTCTCTCGCGATACCGAGGACTTCAGAATCCCGTTTCGTTACCTTCACGATCTCTTTTGCGCCTGGCGTTCCGTTTGTCACATCAAAGTCCAGAGTTCTCAAGGTATTAACTTCCTTATCGAAGACTACGATGCGGAAAAGATCCTCATGTGTGAAGCCATAGTGCGATCTGTACTTCGAGGCATACTGAAACATATTGAGTCGATCAAGGAGGACCAGGTGTTGAATTTGAGCGGAGAACTGTCGTAGGTTCTACTGACCTAGTTTGATTGATACGAGTAAAACTCTTTGGAATCACGAAGCTGGATAGGAATTGCAGAAGACTAGAACACACCAATGCGTAAACTGAATTCGTGTATTTTCTCCCAGTTATCATGAAGTTTTTTGGTACGCCTAAGGTTTGATGATCATCTCAAATATATACTCGCTCCTACTTTCACAACTATACTCATATTGTCTGTGCCAATTCGTCTCAATAATGAGCTCACAGTTCGTAGCCTGTGATCAGAGCAAGACGACAAAGATGTCTATGCACCGCAATATTCTCATATTCCTTGCCATCACCAGTGCTATTATAGCAATAATTCATTGCGTCATGATTGGGGTTGCTCTAGGCCTACCTGTGGTTCAGGATGCTGGTGTTGTCACTGTACAGGTATGCCCAGGATCCTCGATGATTGAGATGCCGCGACTTAGTATGTTAGCTCAATAACACGAATCTCCTGCCGAACGGAGTCCATCAATATCCCCAAGCTCTCACGATTGGGCTCACGAAAGCCTGTCTCAATTACGACAACAAAAGTCATTGTGTCGGTTTCGACCAGCTCAACACGATCAAACAACTAGTACCGTTGATGGATGGCCTGAACGATGTTCTCGGATACCTTCCATTGCTTCATGGTCTCTTTGTATCTCTGGGAGTAGTATCTTTCATCTTTGCGACCCCCCCGGTTCTGTTCTTATTTTTTGCCTTCACTGGTCGACGACGAATGTTAAGGCGCCTGCAATGCCTTTTCATCTTGGGGCTGTGTACACTGCTAGTTCCGGTCGTCTTGAGCCCAACCCTGACCGTACTATCGGTGAAAGAGACAGTCGGTATTTTCGAGACTGTGGTGGAGGGTGATTTAAGTCAGCTTGGGATTGTTGGGATTGCATGCAACGTAATCAATTTTACGATGGCCCTTGCGGCGCTGTTCGTCCATCTTGTGTCTTTTACGGCCTGACGGTGGCATTCTTCCCCGTAATCATTAGCTATCCGCACCCTTTCTATTATAGGCTCGTCTCCTTTTTCCTAAATTGCATTCAACTATAAATGACAGCCGTTTTCTCTGTCTAATCACCCTGATCCACGCTGGTTAATCAAAATCTCAATACACAATGAATCCTGACTCCTCCTGCAACTCTCGACTTGCTCGAGGCAAAGTCCCCCCAACTCTCCTTCCAAACCACAACATTGACTTTTCCAAACCATTCACCCCACGAAATCGATGTTTCGGGCTGCTCAGCTCAGACCACGAAAAGCCGCTGCCAACGCCTCCTCCTCGCCCACCTCATCTACCGGCTCCACTGCAACCGTCTCTACTGTCAGCTCCACCAACTCCACCCAGCATGTTTGATCCGCGATGGGAGCTCCAGTTCCCATCAACCTTGATTTACTATAACCATGACAACGGGAACCCGTGGATGAAGGGCATTGAACGGCACCAAACAGCTGCTGCTTATTGGCAGCAGGCTTATCACACTACGTGTGCCGACCTGTCTGAGGCTGTATACCTGCTCCAATGCCGCATTTCCGACCTAGAAGAGCGCTTCGCAGACAAGAAGCAGGTATGTGCGGCTCAGCCACATGCACTAAATTCTGATGTATTAACGATAAAGACCAAGGAAGAATGGCGGCCTATTAGTCCTTCTACTCCGACCGCAATCAAGTTGCCAAATGATGTCCAGGGCAATTTCGTCTGAAGTGCTGGAGAAAGTTTGCGTTTGTCAGTCGTTACTAAATACGTAGTTTTGTCAGTCGTTACTAAATGCGTAGTTCTGATAGTTTCTGAATGCTTGAATGAGATTTCCACATGCCACACAGCTTGTTCCTCACCAAAAATTGACCTGAAATTTCAGAATTAAGGCTTATAGCAGATTCGGAACGTAACGTAAGCACCGAATTTCCAGACACAGCTGGGAGAACGACAATCTGTTTAAGCTAAATCAGCATTAGAATTCCATTCTCTAGACTTGGCTAAAGTACAAGCAATTCTAGAATCCAATGTGTCTAGAAATGAGATGCTTAGCAGAAAGTACAAGCACTTCTGGAATCCAATGTGTCTAGACTCGAGGTACTTAGCAGAAGTACAAGCACTTCTGGAATCCAATGTGTCTGGAATCGAGGTGCTTGGCAGAAAATACAAGCAATTCTGGAATCCAATGTGTCTAGAATCGAGGTGCTTGGCAGAAAATACAAGCAATTCTGGAATCCAATGTGTCTAGAATCGAGGTGCTTGGCAGAAAATACAAGCAATTCTGGAATCCAATGTGTCTGGAATCGAGGTGCTTGGTAGAAGTACGACCAATTCTAGAACTGAATCTGTCTAGAGATCCCGACAAGGACCTCGATTCTGAAAAGTTCAATTAGATTTGCTTTCACTACCGCTCAGCACCTTGATTCTGGAATTCGAGGACAAGCGCTCTGAGTGGATCCCAGAATACAAACACTCAGAATCACAAAAGCAGATTCGTGTCTCTATCCTTGATTCAGTTCCAATACTCACTCACGTCATATGTGTCGGTCTAGAACACTATCTTCTCGTTACGCAGGATTACTTGAATCAAAAATTCTAAATGGATAAACAGTCAGAACAACAGTATCGAGTTTTCAAAAAACACGTCCACTTTCACCATGATCAACTCCGAAAAGTTTATCACCTACTTGCGGGAGTTATCGTAGTTAATATGCAATACGTTTTTGAGGTCAGGTGGGTGTGGTGTAGGGAGTTTTGGAATGAGTCTTGATATTGGGGCAAAAATCCACTTTCCCGACCAATGAAAGGCTTCATAGTCTTGCCCGTGGCCACCCTCCCCACATCCTTGCGGGCCGCGCTTTTTTTTGGAACATTTGCGCGTAGTCGTACTCGTCCACGTACTGTCAATTGCCCACGGTCGCAATTGCTGATACCGCGATTTTGCAACCCAAATCGTCTACTATAGTAATCAAATCTACTTATAGGTAAGTGCGACCATAGCCAATTGCCACTGTGGGTAATTGACCTTACGTACCTTAGGCAATTGTTTGTATGGTGCGGGCCTTGGGTAAGTACGGAATCACTGGCAGGCAAGTGCGCAACTGGCCCGTGGGCAGGCGCAGTGGAATTGTCGGATTAAATTCTGCTTGCGGGTTTTAATTGGCCAGAGAGTGGATTACTG